TTAATAATATTTATTGTTTCTTGTATTAATATTTGTTAACTTTTCCAAATGTAACCAGTGCTCAAGTTTATGCTCTGTTTTTATTATATAGATTCCTGTGGTATGACCTAGCTGAGAAATAAGTGTACTTCTCTGAGGCTTGCTGTTCTCAAGAGGGAACATCTTAAAGGTTAACAATGTCATGAAAGTGAACTTACACGTGTAAAGTCAACAACAAAATATATTTGACCATGACATGTCACGACATGTTTAATATCCAGCTTTACAACAACTTTGTATGAAGGTGAAGTTCTTTTGAAACTATTTATCAAGATGAATGTTTACAATATAGTGATAAGTTTCCTGTATTGATAAGAATGACATGAGTATCTTATAAAATATAAGATTTTCTTTTATTTGTTGAACTTGTTAACTCATTTTTAACTTAATTCTCTAATTTGATAGCCTATTTATCATATCTTATACATAAAATTCTCGTGTTACAGTTTTCATTCCCATACTCCTCCGAAACGGTTTGACCTATTCTCATGAAATTTTGTAAGCATATTGAGTAGGTCTGAGAATCGGCCAATATCTATTTCTCATCCTCCTAAATGTTAGGGGTAGTCCACCTCTAATTTTTTTTTTTATTTTAAGGCAAAACAACGTTTTCCGGGACAGCTAATATATATATAAAATTCTCGTGTCACAATGTTAGTTACCATACTCCTCTGAAACGGCTTGACCGATTTTTATGAAATTTTATATGCATATTCAGTAGGTCTGAGAATCGGCTACTATCTATTTTTCATACCCCTAAGTGATAAGGGTTGTCCACCCCTAACATTTTTTTTTTGGGTAAATTTTCACCTAAATTTCACCCTTCTATCACCAACCCCTATTTTTAATAGCGATATTAGTACTTACATTTATATGGCAGAACAACGTTTACCAGGACAGCTAGTATATTCAAAATAACTAACTAACTAACTAACTCTATAATCAATACCAGCTAGTATATTTAAAATAACTAACTAACTAACTAACTCTATAATCAATACAGAAGCGGAACATCAATAAAAAATGCTACAATAACTGGCAAGGTGCTTCATTCTTCCTTATGTTATACAGACGAAGTTAGCCTATGTTTAGTTGAATTTTATACAACGCAATATTTAATTTATTTAATGCTTATTTTGTGTCATATAATTATTTAATTCCTACCAATAAGATTCCAGAAAAATATAAGGAAATGCAAAATGGCATTCGCGACAGAAATTATCACATCATTACTATATTAATAAAATTGTATCGTATTGTTAATGAAATATTAATTATGGGTATTTAATACATGTGCTATTTTATTTATATACTTTATCGATTATCTGCTAAGTATTAATGTTTACGTAAAACGTAAAAACGTACGAAATTGTGATAAAAACCCTACAAAAGGGTACAAATAAAGAAGCCTTGCCTTCCATAATTACTAAAATAAGAATATTTTTATCATCGTATAATTTTAAGTAGTATAAATAGTTTTAAAATATAAACGTGTTGGCAGTTAGCTGAAAGTTTATATTGTGTTAATTAAATAAAAGAAAAAAAAAATAGTCTAGAACAAATACCTCTCTTTTAATAGTAGTTAGATTGTTATTTTTTAAAGCCATCTATTAAGTGAAGTACTAGACTCTACGTGAGAGAACAGCATTAAAATTAATAAATTTAGCACCTACGCCGTCGGCACCTCTATGCAATGCATCTTTCCGAGCTTATAAGGCTGCTCTACACACTTGAAAGGTATTACTTGGTTAACGGTTAAATTATTATTTAATGGCGACTGGCCCTTACTACGCACGGAATATAACATTTTCTTGCAACAAAATGAAGCCTACATTTTAACTTACACTTCAATTTAAAATTATATCACAATACTTGTAGTATTTATATCACTTATGTTAAGTCCAGTTTTTTATTTTTTTCCGTATTAATATTAATACTTTCCCAACTGTCCTGTTCAGTTTATAGACTGACTTGAGAAGATTTGATAACTAAATCGGAGAATTTCATGAAATATTGGCAGAAGCAGCTTCCGATGCAGCCAAGTTGTTGTTGGATGTTACTGGATAGTATCATATTAGTTTAAGTTTTTTATGTTAATTCTTAGTAAATTTTTGTCATTTAGTATCGGTACGATGGGATTGTCATCGTCATATTCTGTGTACAAAATACCCAAAAAAATATAAAGAGAAAAAAAGTAACTTATTCAAAAAAATTTTTTTAGACTTTTAGTTCTATTTGTTTAGAATCTATGGCTAAGATTAAAAGAAAATCCTGTATATGAATAACTATTTTTGTTCAGGTTTTTGAGTCAAATTCTTTTTTCTGTCACTTTTTAAAATATAGAATGCTGTATTATATTATATTTTTTATGTATTATATTTAGAAAATTTTCAATAATAATTTTTTTTCTGTTCAGTTTTTATATTAGTTTTTTTCTGAAATGAGACATTCACAATTTCCATGCACGTACGTCATTGAAGTAATATTTTAGTCTCTAGAAAGAAACTGTATCCAATTCTATGTATTAGTTTTATTAGTGTAGACTAAGAGAAACTCTAAAAACTGTAATATTGGGTTTTGCTACTTTTGCCTAACTCTATAATATAATACCTCAGGACAATTCACACAACACCATCTAATCCCAAGCTAAGCAGAGCTTGTGTTATGGGTACTAGACAACTGATATAAAAACATGGATACATTTTTTTTTGTAAATAAATACATATTATACATAGAAAACACCCAGACCGATACAAACAATCATACACATGAATACAAATGTTTGTACCGTGCGAGGAATCGAACCCACGACCATCGGATAGTAAAGCGGTGTGCTAAACCACTAGACCACCGAGGCTGTCTATAACTGTGTAACTTCATTCCTGTGCCCATATATTTTTAAAACTCATGTTCATTTTTACACTGCTATCATTATAACTTTTTACGTCAATTCTGATTGATGTAACGACAGAGTTGTCATGAAAGACGAAGACAAAGTAAGTTCTCTAACTTTACACACATTGATATAAAAATATTATCTACCTATAGTGTAAATAAATTTACAAATAAATAAATAGGTATATGGTAGGGTAGGATAGGGTAAGGTATGGATCGCTATATACTTTGAACTTCTAGAAACATATTAAACTTTTTTTATGGTTTAAAGGCAACTCGAGAGTTTCAGGAAATGCTGTTTCCCTACAAATGTAATTATACAACTGCATACAGGAAGACGTTTATGTAAATATATTATTTAACAGTCTGTATTCACCTCCGCCTGTCTAACCCTATGGGACCAGTTTATGCTAATGCAAAAGATATAATGAAGCCTTTTCAAATGGGTTGCCTTTCCTTTTTTTTCTTTTTTATATTTAAAATTCTTTTTACAGTTTCTAGAATTATTTACCCGTATAAAATTTATCATTTCATGATAATTTCATTTTATTTATCGCATTCTATTTGGCATCGCTTTAATATGTTTTTCTCTTTCTTTCATCTCTTCGCAGTCCACTCGTTCACTCCCTTTCTTGACATATCATTTTTCACTATTCATCCAACTCTTGTTCGGTCTACTTTTGTCCTTTATAACTGACTGAATGAATGAACTGTGTTTTAGCCACAATTCACATTTTCTCTAAAAGAATCTCCTAATTTCTACAAAATTTAAAATGAGCCTGCTGTAATTTTCTAAATTCATTGTGCAAACCGTAATGTTGCTATTAGATTTATCACAGGCGCTAGATACAAATTTCCAATCTTAGAAACTGTAAAACTATGTTTATAAAACATTTGATTCAGTGAAACGGATGAAATACGATTTAGTATTTCTACGAACCATTACAGTACAAGCACAGCTTATTTTTAATTAATTTTAGTACAAACTAGTTGAATTAATTGGCAGTCTCTATATTGCAAAAACAATTGCTTTATAATATGGCATTCGCTGAAAAAAAGCCATTTTTTGTTTATTGTTTTTATAAGTCTATTATAATATACAATTATTTTTCTAATAATATAAGATACCTGAAGCTTCAATGCTTCAGGTATCTTATATCATTAGAAATATAATTCCCGGGAAAGAATTAGTTCGAAAAGATTAGACGGTAATTCTCTCTTTATGCACATTGTTGTTTTCAATATTGTATGTACATATTATATGTTTGTATGTCGGTTCTTTATGTGCAGAAAGCTATTGCATCTACATAACATAGTATAACAATATATAATACATGTATAAGTATAACAATGGCATAGAAAAAAAATCGATTAAAAAAAAATTGGAGACTTTTCTTATGTCACAAAATTAACAAATTAAACTATATACATTCTTTTTTAGTAAAATAATGGCTTTTACCTGGCCAGCAATAAACTATGAAGTCGTGATTATTTAGTATAAACTCTAACTTTATAGTACGACGTTGGGAAGCAATTTGATGGTAAACGGTTACCGTATCGTATGGATGCCAGGAACTATAGGGGTGTCATGTTCACGTTGCCGACCCTTATGTAATCCCAAACTACTGAGCCAATTTCGACGAAATTTTATGTCTACTCAGTAGGCCTAAGAATAGATTGTTATCTATTTTTAATACACTTAAATGCTAAGTGTGGCCAGCCCAAAAGAAATTTTTATTTTTGTGGAAATATTATTATTTTTATACACCTAAGGGTGGTATAAAAAAAAATTAAAATGTTTTGATATATTTTTTTGTGGTTATCTTGTTTTAATACTCCTAAGTGCTAAGAATGGCCTAGCCCAAATATTTTCTTTATTTTTTGGAAATATTATTATTTTTTATACTCCTAACTTATAAAGGAGTCCCAACCCAAAAAATCTAATTTTTTGATATATTTTTTAGGTTTCTTATGGGTTGGGACATAAAACCCTAAATTTCCACCATTCAATTATCAACTCGTATTTTTATAGCGATATTCAAATCTAATCTTCAAATATTACGTACCTGCAACATATTTCCACAGTACATTCATGACAGCCGTCGCCAACAAGTTTTTCGGATGAATCGGCTTATCATTATTCTTCTCTATATATCTCAATACGTTGCACATTTCGTTTTGTATTTCTTTCTCCATCAATGTTTTTCCGAAGCCGACATTTCTTAAATGTTTCACGGTAAATTGTCTGTGCTCCCGCCATACTGGCCCGTCTGTGAAGGTTATACCTGGAAGTGATAAGTCGAAGTAAGTGTCAATTTTAATTACATTCTTCGAAACGTCAGTAACATGCGAAGATCAAATGAGCTGCTGAATACACTACACACCGATATAGGTAACCTGTGACACGAGAAGTTTTTATATATATAAGACTATCTTCTTTTAATGTATAAAATTCTCGTGTCACAGTAACAATATATAAAATTCTTGTCTCACAGGTTTCGTGTTTATATTCCTCCGAAACGGCTTGACCGATTTCGATGAAATTTTATATGTATATTCAGTAGGTCTGAGAATAGGCTTATAACTAATTTTTATACCTCTAAGTGTTAAGGGTGGTAAATTTTTTTATTAATATTTTGACAATTTTATTTATTTTTATTTTAGCATTGAAAAATACCAACCCCTATTTGTAATAACGATTATAATTTATAAGGCAAAACGTTTGCCGGGTCAGCTTGCAAATAATTACATATCATACATGTATAATTCAATATCTGAGGACAATTCACAGCGCCATCTAGTCCCAAGCTAAGCAGATCTTGGTTATGGATACTAGACAACTGATATAAATACACATATACATTTTTTTGTAAATACACACATAATAAACATAGAAAACACCCAGACCGATACATTCATAAATAAAAATTTTTGTACCGTGCGTGAAATCGAACCCGCGACCATTAGAAGTAAAGAAGTGTGCAAAACCGCTAAACCATTGGGGCCATCAAATTAAAAATTTATGTAACTTAGAATAGCAGACAAGCTGACAGCCAATCCGCTGGTAAGTGGTAGCCGCCCCTTATGTACATGAATATATAATAGTTCAAATGGAATCACTGTTTGATCACCGAACAGTGAACACTAGACTACCAAGCTATATATATCCTCGGTAGCCTAGCGGTATAGGACGCCGCTTACCTTCCGATGGTCTCGGGTTCGATTCCTCGCACGGTACAACCATTTGTATTCATGAGTTTGTATCGGTCTGGGTGTTTTCTACGCATATATATTTCTATTGATAGAGAAATATATATGATAGAGCTGTACTCGCGACTTCGTCTGCGTGGAATTTAAATATATTTTTCTAAAATAAATGTAGCCTAAGTCAATTCTTATTACATCCAATAAAAGTCCCGGCAAAATCGGTGTAGCCATTTCAGAGATTAGCCGGAACAAACAGACAGACAGACAGACAAAAATTGTAAAAAAGGTTGTTTTGGTGTATGTACCGTAATTATATTCATATGCATGTAGTAAAAACGGTTATTTCAATATTACAAACAGAGACTCCAATTTTATTTATATGTATAGATAATGAAATTGCTCTAACGGTTTACGCTGGCGGGGCATCAGTGGAGGATGATAAGATGAGCATGAGGTCAGGTCAGTTAGCCCATCGTGACAAATTCACCAAGAATTTATCACGATGATTTCCAGGGGGAACCGCGTGGAGGTCAACCTGACACGGTACATTGCTAGCAATATGATCATCACTTCACATTACTACAAAAAAAATATCTAAGTATTTATATCAGTTGTCTAGTACCCACAACACAAGCTCTGCTTACCGTGGGACTAGATAACGCTGTGTTAATTGTCCAGGAAATAACCCTGTTATTATTATTATTATTATATAAAGAAAGAAAGAAAATTGTTTATTTGGTACACAGAAAATAATTAAATTTTAATTTACTAGGTCTTAGGTTAAATAGGTCTCCGCTCAGTATATGTCGTGACGGGGTGCCACGACGCTGGTTTTCAGCGGATACCTTCATATATAATAAATATAATAATAATAATACACATACATACATAAATCTAGGCGGATATAGAGCTTTATTAAACGCCTGCTGATGCCTTGTTCAGAGGCAAAACACGTGTCACAATATGGAGTAAAACTTAATAGGTAACGGTCGGAATTCGACCATCAATAGAGAAGGTCACATAACGCTTCCAGTAGCCGTGGTCAGGTTTCCGTACTGAATATTTGTGGTCTCACACAAACACACACTCGGTATGCTAATTGTGGCGGAATTAAATAATAGTATATTACTATATAAGTGTATTGTGACGGTTATAATATACTTCAAATATACTCAACCATAAAACTGTGGACACTGTTGCTTTCCCGCAGTTTTACTTTGTTAAATCAATGTCACGCAACCGTATTTATAACACCTTCTATCTTCAGGTGTACTCAAATAATACTTCTTATTATAATCCAATAGTTCGAATGTGTCGCCAATACAATGAAATTCTTGTCTCGAATACAAATATAGATATTTTCCATTCAACGCTGGTCCAGTTCCGGAGACAATTAAATTTCCACCGTAAAGAGACAAATTATATTTAATATTGTACCATTTTTTTTTCTTTAATGTAAATAAAATTCTATTAACATGATAATTCATTGAAGTATATCATTTTATATTTAGTTTACTTTTCATTATATAACCTTATCTAGCTATCTAGCGTATATTGAATGCGTCTATATAATTTAGCTCTTAGACATACATAGTGTTGGATTACAATCCAGTTTTGTACTGAACTACACGCTCCTAGTTATATTATTATATTGACTGTAATATGTTTTGTATGCTAATAAATAAATAAAATAAATGTGCTGCCTACTGGCTGGCGTCGCGTGGCAATCACTTCGAAATTAGAATAAAAAATAGCAAATTCAAGTTCATAAATCATTTATTCATATAGAACATTTTAGCCGCTTATGAACGTCAAATTTTTTATGTTATAATTATTCCCTGCCGTCTAGTTCATAGATCTAATTGAGAAGAACTGGCAATAAACTCAATTGAATTACTATTTTTTAAAGCCATTTTATTTACATAGGTGTCTATGTCTAACATTAAATGAAAATCCCGTGCATGAACAACTATTGCCATGCTCGCTCGTCATTCAAGTAATCGTTGTGTGAGTAATAGCACAGATAACATAATATTACATAGTAATAGTATGGTTATGGAATATAACTTCATTATTTGCGTTTACAACGCACGTGTGTTGTATGAACTAATATCTAATGTGTTGGAAAAATAATATAAATCCATTATAATCAGTGATATTATTTAATAGCAAAATTAAATTCTGTAACCTAATTATTTGTATGTCTTGAAATGTAAATTGTAAAGGAGCTGCTCATTCTAGTATTAATATTCATATACTCCGCTAAATTATTAAAATATAAGCCTGACTCAGTATCCTGCTGTGACTAGCTTGGTAATTATGTATGTAGATACCGCCTTAGACTACCACAAATTATGCTTTAAGAGCTTATTATAAGACACAATTTTGTAAGTCACATATATGTAGGTATGTTGTTTTATATGTCATTAATATTAAGGAATAATATCAAGTGATAAAATATAAAGCTATGATTAGCGAAAGTGCTGTTCTATATTAGAAATTATATCAATAAAACAGTAACAATTTATAAAATCCAGAGATATTAATCGATCATAGAGACATGAGATATCAATTCGGAATGATTCGTTTCTACCGACGAACAATTTGCGGGAAGTTGTCTCTATGGATATATCTGTCTTATAATATTTCATTCGACATTCAGCTTTCTTTATTATATTTAAGAATTGAACAGAAAATTCTTTATTCAAATAAACTTGAATTGAAGCAGTTTTGAATGCATTTTTTTTAATCTACCACTCATTCGTAAAGCTGTCTCGTCACAAGAAAAAGAGCAAGATACTTGCGTCTTCCTTGAATAATTGTTGGAACTACATTTTTAAGTACAAAGGTGTGAATACAAAATAGCATTAATTCATTGGAATAAAATAGTAAATACTTAGCCAGCTATTTGAGTAACTAAATAAGAGGAAATTAGAACAAACAAGTCTCAACAAGCAGTACTGTACACGACTTAATGAATGATTGAAATTAAGTTTCGCTTTAATACATGAGATATGGCAGTAAATTTGAATAAACACATGACTACTTATTCCACACTTAAGTAATTTCAATAGTTCAAGCCATCAGGTAGGCTATCCACTTTATCATTAAATTTATAGTTACACTAGCTGTTCGTCATCGTCGCGTGGAATATAACTTTATTTTCTAAAATAAAAGTAGCCTAGGTTACTCCTTATTACATTAGCTACCTACCAAAAAAAGTCCCGTCAAAATCGGTCAAGCTATTTCAGAGATTAGCCGGAACAAACAGACCGAAAGACAGACAGACAAAAATTGTGAAGTGTTTTTTTGGTGTATATACCGTATTTATATTCATATCCATGTAGTAAAAAAGAGTTATTTCAGTATTACAAACAGACGCTCCAATGTTATTTACATGTATAGATATGTATATGGTATATATGTAGATAAAACTCTAGTGCTGCTTTATTTTCATTTTTGGTGTATGTAATATTTTTTTTTCTCTCAAGGGGGGAATATCTGTGGGACACAGTTACCTAAATACATCAAAATAATAATTGCATTTAATAATGCCTAAGTAAGACAAATATAATACTGTCTACTAAGCACTGCTGTGTCTAAACTGTGTCACCCCACCTTACATTTTCCTATTGTTATTTAGTATATAAGATCATTATTTCTCATATTGTCAGTCAATTACCATCTGTAATATACATCGTCTCGACCATCAACTTCGTATCGTTCACCCGCAACAGATACATGGTCTAGTATAGAACTTACTGCAATACAGGGATTTTTTGGCAATTTTAGAGTGATATCTAGAAAAAAAATCTTTAGTCATAAACTTAATATAAGCACTTTTGAATAGTCAAGTTTTTTTATTCTACCGCTTATTCGGAATGCAGATTCATCACAAGAAGAATAAGCAAGATACTTGTGTGTTGCTCTTTTAAATAAATATTGATTTATTTATATTTAATTAACAACAAGGATTAGGCATGCGACAATCAATATAGAAACCGCTACGCACTTAATCTCTGTTCAATCAGATAATATTGTCAGCGCTATGAATTTTAAGTTAGATATTTTCTACAAA